TGCAAGTTAACAAATTAAAGTAACGGTCCAAGTGTCCAAATATATACACATAAAATCAAAGTTGTACAACTCCTATCACGGATCCCAGTGTAAAAAATCTGTGACTAACTATGTTAGTCACGGATTTTGTCCTAGACTAGGTCCGAGACTAATTCCACGTAACTAAGATTAAAAAAATTAAATTAAACGTAGTCACGGACCGTATCCGTGACTAACGTGCCGGAGTAGTAATTCCGGTCAAGAATTAGTCACGGACACGGTCCGTGACTACGTTTAATTTTTTTTTTTTATCTTAGTCACGGACATGTCCGTGACTACGTGTATTTTTTTAATTCGGGCATATTAGTCACGAACCGATCCGTGACTAAGTTTTAAAATTTTCAAATTTGCAAAAGCCCGCGGTTTAAATTTTCTAAATTTGTATTAGTCACGGACATGTATCCGTGACTATTATTTTAAAAAAATAAATAGATTTTGAATTTAGAAAAGAGTTCCGGACAAAAAAAATAGTCACGGATTTAGTCCGTGACTAAAGTTTTTTTTTTAAATCCATTTAAAAAAAAATTATTTTAAATTTTCTTTAAAGCAATTAGAACATTAAATGAAAAATAAAATCCATACAATGTTAAACATAAAAAATGTTATTACAGACTGAAATTATAAAACTAATATGAAATGTTAAACTTAAAAAATGTATAATTACATGCTCCGCCGTCGGACTCCATTATGATAAAAATTAGGATCATCATTATCATCATTATAATCATAATCTAGATGATGATCCTCTCCAGCATCCACGGGGTCTAAGGGTCAGGTACCTCCTCGGCTGCCTCCACCGGATGACTGAAATTGATTGAAGAAATCAGACGACAGAGATCCGAATGTCGGCCCCATTGCAGGCATGCTACCATATCCGGGGTTAGAATGATAACCCATATGACCCATGTGCGGAACTTGAGGAGTCTGCTCAACGTGCAACATGTACGGCCGAGGAAGAGGCTGAGGCGGAGGCTGATACGGCAACAATCTGTTCCATCGCTTCCAACCGGGCCCTTGTTTCTTCATCCTTCTTCCGTTGTTGTTCTAACGCCCGCTGGTGCTCCTCCAATTCTCGTTGCAATTAGGCGATGCGTAGATCCTCTCCCCGCCTTGATCGAGAAGATGATGAAGCTCCACTGTTGTTGTGGTCGTACAAAATCCGTTGCCCCTCAGCCCCCAGGCACGGAAGCCGACCCTTGTATACCTCAGCTGCCTCAAGGATCGCATCATCTTCCACATCTGAATCGATCTCATCCTCCTGGGTCAAGCCTAATTCCACCCGCTTCTTCTCAACATTTGCGTTATACTTCGTCTACAAGCATGTACAAAAATTATTGAAATGATATTTACTTCGATTTGAAATAATAAAATTTATGTTACGTACTTCGATTTGAATAATAAAATTTATGTTACGTACTTTGATTTCAGCAAGGCGGGGTGGCAGATCGGCTTCCGACACATCACCGTTCTTCGTCCAACAGAGTTTGATGACCTTGAGGATAGAGACCCTCTTCTTCTGAGGCCCCGCCTACATGGTTTGAAAAAGACTTAAAATCCATAATGAATGGAAAAAATGAAGGGTTAAAATGGTGTAAGGTTTATTTGAATAAGACTTACAAGAGCTTCCTTATGTTTACTCTGAGGTTTGCGGCCTCCGTGCCATTGTGTCGTTAATGCCTTCTCGGACATCCGATTTTTCTTCCCTGCTTCGCTTCTAGCCAAGAAAGTTGGATCCGAAGACCAGTGGCGGACGAGGTTTTCCCATACCTCATCCGAACACCATTGAGGCCTTACCCCACTGGCTCGGGCACGCTTAAAAGTGGGACGAAACCAGTTTGAAACTCTGGCGTTATACGCCCTTAGAATAGCGGGGCCTTGTTCTTCAGTCCAGCGAAACCGGGCCTTTATTAAAAAAAATAAATTAATTTATCATTTGTCAAATTTTAGGTTACTACAATGACGCATGGAAAATTCATTTTGTTTACCTTGAACAGGTTCCACCAAAGTTCACGGACCTTGGGATCAACATCCGTGTACGTAGCCCAGTTGCCAAGAAAGTGTCCACCAATTATGCTTTTGATTTGGTCGAGCACTTGTTGATCGCTTCAAAAAATTAATGATATTTTTTTATATCCGTTTTGGTTAGATTATTTGACATTAGATAAAATTATTTGATATTATGTAAAGTTCATAGTTACTTACTTAGCAACCATGTGAGGTGACACCCAATTCGAATTTTCATTGTTGCGCTCTGCTTCGGTTAAGGGCGCATAGCTCGGGCGGGCACGCGAGGTTGATTGTTCATTGCTCATCTAAAATAATTAATTAATAGGGACGGAGAGAGTATTGATTTACATTTTCAAATAATGGTGTAAATCCAGTAGAAGATCAAATTTTGGTTGAAATTTTAAATAATAGAAGATCAAATAATGGTATATATCCCATGGCACTTACACATATAGCAACAAAGTTACAAGTAGGGGTGAGCAAATAACCGATTTAACCGACCTGACCGAAAACCGATGACTGAACCGACCGAAAAAAACGGCTATCGGTCGGTTTTCGGTTATAATAAATTAAAAAGAATCGGTTATTCGGTTATTCGGTTTTTATTCGGTTATATTTATCGGTTATCGGTCGGTCACCAATAACTGTCCAAAATATATAAGTTTTTTTAAGGAAAAGAAGTTTTATTGAAGTCCATAGTATGAAGTCCAGACCACACTTATTGAAGTCCACCTATGAAACCCAATAGTCGAATGCTCTGGAGCCCTCAACCCTTGACCTCGTTAGATCGGTTTGGTGGTTTGGAGTTAAATGTTTAAGAAGTTAATAGCTTAATTATTTGCTAACCTGACATTTTTTATTTTGTCTCCTGATTGAAAAAGATATATGTGGGTGATGCATCATTAGTGCATATGTAAGTGTGCTTTGTACTTTTATTTACATTTAAACATGTTAAATCTATTTTGGTATTTATTATTTTATTTATTAATGTGTTGTCTACAACTTTCATAATTTTGAAAATAATATGCTTTTGAAATAGGGTCGGTTATTCGGTTATTCGGTTACCGACCGAAACTGAATGACAATTTTCGGTCGGTTTTTGTAATGTTGTCGGTCGGTTATCGGTCGGTTATTAGAGTAAAAAATATTGGTCGGTTATTCGGTTATCGGTCGGTTATTTGACCGACCGACCGAATGCTCACTCCTAGTTACAACGACATTTTTAAAGTACCTATGATACTATTGCCTCTTTCATGGTGGTCAAGAGTCCAAATTGTTGAATTTGGACTCCGTCCATATGAAAACAAGGTTTAGATTTTGTCAATATTGTTTTTTCTACATTCGTGCACCGTCAAAAAAATACACTCTGCATATTTCTACATATCAATTTATTAAAACATTAATTACAGTATTATAAGTAATGTTTTACTTTTAATTTTTTCATTGAATAATTACAAACTAAAAAATACACATTTCGATGTAAAAATAAATATTTTTCATTAACTTTTTTAACGTTTTTCGGTTAACAAAAATGAACTAAGTTTAAGTAAAGTTCGATTATGGAATATTCTGTTTTTTGTGAAGGCTCCATGAATTGAAAATTTGTGTTTCGCTTTCCTTTTTGCTCAAGTAAACTCCAACAGTTAAAACTTCAAAATTTTCCCATTTTATCTATCACATATTGATGTCATATGGAAGATCATAAAAATTCATGAATTTTGATACTCCCTCCGTCCCCGAAAATACTTCCAACTTTTCCTTTTCGTCCGTCCCAAAAAGAACTTCCCTTTCCTTTTTTGGCAAAGAATTTGTGGTTCACAGCATTTCCCTCTCCTCTGCACAACTCTCCACCACACAATTCTCACTTTCTTAATCCGTGTGCCACTTTATTTTGGAAGTAAATTATGGGACGGAGGTAGTATATGTTTTGAAAAATTTGGAGAACAAATAAAAAAGTTTTAAAAGTTTTAAACAATTTGGGATATTGATGACATCTGAGTGAGGACATCATGACGTCGGCTAACCATATGCACTGCCCAGGAGCTGGCGCTGCCACTTTCTTTTCTTTTTCATTTATTTTTTGGCTGTCAAAACACCTCTATATTTAACCTCATCCTTTCCCATACCCACTTTTAATTAGGGGTGATTCGGTACGACATACCGAATATTTTCTCTCATACCTTTGTCGTACCAAAACTTTCGATATATAAAATTTATATACCGTTCCCTTACCGAAGTTTCGATATACCGCATTTCGGTATATCAAAGTTTCGGTATACCGAAGTTTTGATTCGGTAACGGTACGATATCGATAAATTGCAATGCATGACTCTCTCAATACAATAAATTATCATAGACTAACAAAATATACAAAATATGTGTTACTAGCAGCATATTTAGTTCATTATTAAAATGTTATAAAATAAAATTAATAATCAATTGATGTCACATTCATTATTGAACAATAACTATGATTCGTATATTTAAACAGTTCAACATGCGACATATTAAAAATTAACGCAGTACTTCTAAAATAACTTAAACAATAAAGATATACTTAAATCAATAGTGATCTCTTAGAAAAAAATTATTCAAACATGAATATAAAATCATTATCCCTAATATAATAGGATGTTGTGTATTTAGTCATTTTTATAATTTGGAAAAAATATATTTGAATAGTAGTTTCGGTATAACGATATACATGTATACCTTTTATTTTCAAAACATATACCAATATGTTTTGAAAATAAAGTAATTCAGTATGGTACCATATCATACCGAAAATGTTGGTATACCTAAATCTTTGATAAATCAAGTATTTTTCGGTATGGTAAATGTGGTATACCGAAATTTCAATATTTTTTTACTCAGCCCTACTTTTAATACCCTTTTTAACCCACCAATGTATGAAATTAGGAGTCCAAAAATGTTATTTTTAACATTTTGGACTCCTACTAACTCACCCCTTTCGATTAGCATATGATCCTACGAAGGTCTAGGACTAGAACTAGGACTAGGATCTCTCATTGCTCACCCCGACTCCCCTTGTCCTGTACACGATGGTCTAACCCTCGAAGACCGACGCAGCCCGCAGGCAGTCTAGGCACGCAGCACGCAGGCAGTCTAGGCACGCAGCACGCAGGCAGTCTAGGCACGCAGCGACGAACTCCGTCCTCCCGACCGGCGCTCGACCCTGACCCTTCTCAGTGGACTGTGGACCAGACCTGGCTACCTGCGATTCTGATTCCTGCCGACCTGCGATTTCCATTCTTTCCAGAATCGCATCCCCTTCCTTCCCTTTCAACCCTACCCTTCGCCTTGCCGACTGCCATTCCTCCGTTCTTGGACTCCTGGTATCCTGCTAATCTGCTATCCTGCTAATATAATTCTTATATCGATTAGTTTAATGGTTTAGAATCATCGTTGTCAATTGTTGTGAGTTGATTAGATTCTCTATGTTTATTACAGATTACTTGATTTCCTTGTCTAATTTGATTTGAGTAGTGGCGTAGTGCTGTAGTGCTTTTGTTGGTTTGCAGATATTACTAATGAAGTTATTAGATTAGTAAAATTGTTTTTCTTACCTAAATAATGATTTGTTTTTATCAGTAAAATTTTAATTTTTAGTTTGACGTTTCCTTCTTGTACCCATATCTTGATGTATTGAGATTGGAGTTTCCCTCCCCTTTTCCGTCCGGTGCTACTTAGATTAGAGTACATGTTTATCGGATTTACTGAAGAGGAGTATGGAGTATAATTTATGTTGGATGGATTTGTTTTTGGTTCTGTGAGATGTTTTTTGTAGAATAATGACTGTTCATGAGGTCTGAGAGGAAATATCCTTCATTTTACAATGACTTTTAATCAGTTCTTGCAGTCTTTTAAGGTTGATTCTAGGGTTTAATTCATCTTTTCCTATGGTCTTTACTTAGTGGGTGGGGTTAAGCCTCTGTAGAAGACTAGGTCCTAGTGCATGAGAACTATTTATTGATATTCCTATTGTTGTTAAATTGCTAAAAGAGGGTGAGAACTGAGAATTGATAAGGAAACTTTTAGGAGGTGGTGTTTTCTGGCCTTCGGTTTGCAATTTATTAATTAAGAAAACAAAGGGGAAAGCAATGATTTATTTTGGCTACTCTACACATGTCTACATTAGTTGGTTTTACCTTTATTTCTTCTCATGGAAATATTATTTCTGGTACCTAATATGATTAGACATTTGTTTACAAAAATAGTAAAATACTATGTGTATACTAGTCTTAAAGCTGAGCTTGGTAAGAAAGTAATACAGTACTCCTAACAACAACAACAACAACAATAGTAGTAGTACTACTACTACTAAAAGTAACACTCTTTGTTCCCTGCGTGCAGCCCTAGCACCAGACACGTCCACATCTGTTCAAAGTTTTGCATAATAAAATATCTGCATTCCTAAATTTCAGGCATGGAAGTTGCACACTGCTATCTTGATGGCAATGCAGATGCTGTAGAGTTCTGCCCACAAGAGTCTTTTCAACATGTCTTAGCAGCCTCCACGTACACACTGCAAGAGGGAGATCATCCGAGTCGTTCTGGTAGTATAAGCCTCTTTGATGTCAATGTTGAAGAGGGTCGTCTCGATTTGATGTTCAGAGCGGAAAGAACAGGTATTTTTGACATAAGATGGAGTCCTGATGGTGGAAATTCGAGCCCTTTGCTTGCCCAAGCTGATGCTGATGGTTTTGTCCGAGTGCACCGGCTTGAATGTTCTTCTGGTGGATCAGAGGTCCAAGGTATGTTTTTTTTTACATCTTCAGGGGTAAAACACAAAGAAATGAGCTTTTACTCGACTATGTTACTGTGTAATAGCATGGGATGATTGCTTTGTGCAAAGAGGAAACAAGTAGCTTCTACTGCAAAAAATGATATGAGTAGCAAATTCTCTTCTCTTAGGGGGGTGTGTCCTCAATATAGATTTTGAATGATGTTTAAAGACTATGCTTTTATAGATTTCAACAGAATTGTATCCGCATTTTTAAATAAGTCATGGGTATTTGTCCAGTTGTTCTTTTATATTCTGCTAATCAAGCATTTCAATTGAGCTAAAGTGATTTTTTCAAACTCTATATGTTTTCCAAGAGAGAGCTGGGGGGTGTCAGAGGAAAGGTTTTAATTTTGTTCTATTAATTAAACTGAATAAAATTACGCAAGAGTGAAACTAAATAACTCGGCAATGGCTTTGACTTGATGGCAAAGAACACTTCGGAAATAAATTCCATCTATTTCATTGTAACATTTACAAACCCTTGAAGCGTTCCTTCTTAACCTGCAAGCCTCCAAGGTTCTGAGGTTCCCAATTCTCATACACAATAGCACACTAATAAACCTCTCCTGTATTATTGTTAAAATGAAATGAGTAGAGTTCAAATGTCTAAACAAAGCTTAGCAACAGTAATCAGTGTGACACTGTAGTTTCCTTTTACAGTTAGTTTCAAGTCTTGTTAAAACCTCTCCTTCATGTTATATATAAATGGTGCGTTTTTTTCACATAATTGTTTAGAAAATGTCCATCTGATTGACAAATAGCAAAAGTGCAAGCTTTCACGAAAGGAAATATAAATGTCAATAAAATCTGGTCATTGCAGGGAATTATTTGGAAGAGATCGCTCATGATCATGTTAGTTCTTCCATGTGCCTAAGTGTAGATTGGAACCCTTTAGGGACATCCATCACTGTCGGCCTATCAGACGGTTCAATCTCAATACTTTCACTCCACGAGTCTCAACTAAAAACCCAAGAATGGACAGCACACGATTTTGAGGTTTGGACTACCTCCTTTGACATTCATCAACCACAACTTGTGTACTCTGGCTCAGATGACTGCAAATTCTGTTGCTGGGATTTGCGTCACGATACATCTAAGTCTCCAATTTTCAAGAACATAAAAACCCACACAATGGGCATCTGTTGCATCACAAAGAACCCAAATGATCCCAATGCCTTGCTCACAGGTAGCTACGATGAACATCTCAGGATATGGGATGTGAGATCAATGTCGAGGCCTATATGTCAGCGATCAATATCTTTGGGCGGTGGAGTGTGGAGAATCAAGTTTCATCCCACTACACCTGACTTAGTTTTAATAGCATGTATGCACAATGGGTTTAGTGTTGTTGATGTAAAAGGTGATGAACCTAAAGTAATTGAAACATACAAAGAACATGCTTCACTTGCGTACGGAGCAGATTGGCAAAAGGGATCTTTATGCATAGAAGGGGAAAAGACGAATGCAGTAGTGGCCACATGCTCATTCTATGACCGGCTCCTTCGTGTATGGAAGCCAAAGGCTGAAGCTTTTTTAATGTTGAACCCTCAAAATCAAACATGTTCAATATAGGCACTCCTTTTCAGCTTTTACTCGGACCAAGATTGTGTTTCTCATTGTTATAAAAGAATTTCAAGTGTAAGTGTCATAATGTCTTGTTGTTTATTGAAATTTTTATATATCTTTTTTGGGTGCTTTTATTGAAAATTTTCCTTGCTATTATGGCAGTCAGTTTAATGTTGAACCCTCAAAATCAAACATGTTCAATATAGGCACTCCTTTTCAGCTTTTACTCGGACCACGATTGTGTTTCTCATTGTTATAAAAGAATTTCAAGTGTAAGTGTCATTGTTTATTGAAATTTTTATATATCTTTTTTGGGTGCTTGTAGTGAAATCTCTTGTTGTTACTCATCTTTTTAAGGTAAATTTTATCGTACAGCAATTAGGCCGGCATTAATGTATGACGTAGTGTGTTGGGCGGTGAAACAATGTCACTTGCCACATTCAAAAGATGAGTGTGACAGAGATGTGTATGTTGCGTTAGATGTGTGGACATACCAGAAAAGACCGCCTGAGGAATGAGGTAATCAAACAAAAGGTGGGAGTAACACCTATAGAAGATAAGATGCAGGAGTCTCGTTTGCGGTGGTTTGGGCATGTGCATAGAATAACGAGTGATGCACCTGTTAGACGACTTGAGGGGTGGGGAGAAGAGTCAGAGAAGAGAGGGAGGGGAAGATCCAAACATACTTGGATTAGAGTAATCAGAACTGATATGCGTCTTCTTGGGTTGGATATTATCGTACAACAATTAGGCCGGAATTAATGTATGGCGTGGAGTGTTGGGCGGTGAAGCAATGCCACATTCAAAAGATGAGTGTGACAGAGATGTGTATGTTGCGTTGGATGTGTGGACATACTAGAAAAGACCGCCTGATGAATGAGGTAATCAGACAAAAGGTGGGAGTAACACCTATAGAAGATAAGATGCAGGAGTCTCGTTTGCGGTGGTTTGACATGTGCATAGAATACCGGGTGATGCACCTGTTAGACGACTTGAGGGTGGGGAGAAGAGTTAGAGAAGAGAGGGAGAGGAAGATCCAAACAGACTTGGATTGGAGTAATCAGAACTGATATGCGTTTTCTTGGGTTGGATGAGAGTATGGCTTTGGAGAGAGCAAAGTGGAGGGTCCACATCTATGTGGACGATTGATGTCTTGTCTACCTTTCCTCTCTTGTTTCTTTTATCGTTTATCTTCCTTATCTTTTTATATTCTTATGTTATTTTTATCTTCTAGCTTTTTTATGCTCTTTTATTTATTTTTCTTTTATCTTGGTTATATTCTTGTGTTATTGTTATCTTATATTTATGTATCTTTATTTTATTCATTTTATCTTACTTTTTTTCCTTTTCTTGTCCGCCTTCTCTTTTTGACATCAATATCATAGATCGATTCATGTTAACCGACCCCAAATTCTTTTGGGATTAAGGCTTGGATGTTGTTGTTATGGCAGTTGGTCGGTCCCATTACGCGTGTTCTATTTCTTGTGATCCTGTCCTAATTATACACACCTTGGGCCCACTAGATTCAGGGCGTATACTTTCTTATGTGGATATTTTACACGGTGCATATGAATTTCAGACAATACAATATTAGAAACATTGAAGACACGGAATAAATACACTTCTTTAACAATAGCTCTAATCTATTCCAAAAGTGCATTGAAATTTGTTAGAAGTACAAACACACTTACAAAAAAACTTAGGGAAAACTATCAAATAAGCCCTCGTACTATATCGAAAAAGTCAATTAGGCCCGCGTACTTTACAAACACTCAATTAAGTCTTCGAACTATTAAAAAACGTTCAATTAAGCCCTTTCGGTCGGTAAGTAACCGGTTTCTCGGTTAAATGTAACCTGTTTCCCGGAAGCCGCCGTTGCTGGGGTTCGAGGTCATCGTCGCCATCGCCGTCGTTTAACCGGGAAATCGGTTACTTACCCACCAAAAGGGCTTAATTGAACGTTTTTTAATAGTTCAAAGACTTAATTGAGTGTTTGTAAAGTACGAGGGCCTAATCGACTTTTTCGGTATAGTACGGGGGCTTATTTGATAGTTTCCCAAAAACTTACAAACAAGTGATGTGACTATTCTAATTACCATTGATGTAAAAGTGTTGTAAATGTGATGTGATGTGTTAAATAATGTGATGATGCCACCTACCCCTTTTGTAAAACTTTTTGTAAAAGTTTTTGTACCTCTAGCATAACTCAAGTGCATTAGAAAGAATTATCTCATCACATTTTGCAATAAAATCATGGATCATCTCAAGTAACAGAGACCTTAATGAGGCTAAATGTATATCTGAGGATGTTTTTATTTAGACTGTGTTTAGTCTCAGACCAGATTTAAACAGATCAGACTTAAATGGACCAGGTCAGACCAGACATAAACAGATCAGACTAGAATTGACTTCCATAGTTATAAAATACACAGAAACCAGACATTTACCACACCAGTTCAGACTAGACTTAAATAGACCAGACCAGACTTAAAAAGACCAGGCCAGTTCAGCAAATTACAGGCTAAGTAAAAACATCTTGAATACCCTAGAGAATACCACAAGAGAAATCCAATGTGTTGATAACCTCCCCTATCATTCTCTTTTCTAGTTCTACCCTCTCATTTTTACCTTTTTACTCCTTACCCCTTTCCTACTCACATGAATTTTCCACTTGTTCCCTCTCTTTTTCCTCTCTCTTTCACACCCTCTTTGGAGATTCAAACATATATTAGATCTGAATGATTTTCAAACAAGTCTATGAAACATTATCGTAGAAATATATTTTAAATGAGGCTTGAAGATAATGTTTTGTTAAAACTGTTTGAATAAAAACACGTTCCTCTTTTAAAATTCACATTTTTTATAATAATAACACATATGTATTGTGTAAGAATCAATCTCATTGAAAAGGTTTCACACATACATGCTTAGTGTGGATGATCTTCATAAGCATTAGTTGACTATGAGGTCATTAATGTTTTGCTAGCAAAAAAAGATTCACATGAATGTATAATAGTTTCAGCCAAGAATTGAACAAAAAGACAACAAAAGGGAGAAAATCATCAAGTTGTGCGGTCATGGAAGGGTAGTTATTTGCCAAAGGAAGTTGAGATTCTTGGGATTATTCTTGGGATTGTTTGTAGCTCGAAGAACAAAACCTTCTGAATGAGAAGAATTTGAGGAAACAAATCAGAAATTGGATGCATTGTTGTCGTTATTGCAAAACAAAAGCGTGGAAGATAACGAACATCACTCTCTACGCATGACTTCCCCTGTAATCCAGTTTGCACAAGGGAATTCTCATCCAATTTCAGGTAATCATGCTAAATCTTTTGGATTTTCGCCCAAAATTAAGTTCCCCAGCTTCTCCGGGAATAATCCTCGTCAATGGATACAAAAATGTGCCAAGTATTTTGATCTTTGTGTTGTTGAGAACTATCATAATGTAGACTTAGCTTCTTTGTATTTGAGTGGTCGTGCTGAATCCTGGTTCACCGGTTACATTCGGTGCATAGAAGAGTATCTTGGGAACAGTTTGTGATTGACATGTGTGATGGATTCAATGAAGAGTTAGGGAGTACAATCACTGAGGAATTTAATAAACTGCAGCAGCTAGAATCTTTAGATCAATACTTGGATAGTTTTGAACAATTGAGAAGTTTGATGTTACAGAGAACTGAAAGATTACCTGAAGAATTTTTCTTAGATAGTATCATTGGGGGACTCAATCCCACTATCAAGCACTTTGTTAAGGCCTTCAAACCTCGGACCTCGATGCAAGCCATGGAATATGCCAGATTGCAAGAGAACCATTTAAATGCTTTAAAAAATGGGGAAAAGGAGAAATGGAGAGGCCAACATATAGAACCGAAGATAAGAATGGGGTGTCTTATTACAACAATAATAGTTCCAACAATGCAAGAGATTTGTTACCCAATCCCATTACCGTGGCAAGAGAGAACAGAGGCTTACCAAATCCAAGAAGAAGGAATATGACAGGTGCTGATATTGAAGAAATTGAAGAAAGAAGGGGAAAAAACCTATGTTTTTACTGTGACGAAAGCTACTTTCCTGGTCATAAATGTAAGGCCCAAACGTATAATTATTTTCATGGCCCATTGTATGGGAAGTACATGGATTTGCCATTAAGGGTCATTCAGGAATTCAAGCAACTTATCACATGCTCAAAACAATATTTTATTAGAAAAAGATGAAGATGAATGTTAAGGAATGAGTATCAACTTTCAGCATTTGTCAAATAAATAAACCCCTCCCGTTTAAGCCGACAGGCTTATTACAATCTCTACATATTTCTGAAACTATATGGAAGGACATTGATGGATAAGTGTATCCGGGGGGTATCTATCCGAGGTGTCACTGAGCGGAGTAACTAGAGAGTAGTCAGAGCAAAAGTAAGAGAGATAATATGTATTGCTGAGAAAGTATTGAGCGTATTGAGCATGGATTACAAATGGGGAAAGGGGTGCTATTTATAGTAGTAATAAATGCCAGATAGGGACACGTGTCATCATTCTGGTGGTCGAGGGGTCACCTCAACGGGGTGGCACTGGCACTCGCATGTGGCCGCATTAAATGCGGTGGTTGGATGTGACATTTGTACTCGGTATGTTGATCTAGCGTATGTGGGTGGGAGATTCTGTCGAGGAGATGCCTTCGGCCGTAGATGATTGGCTGAAGGCTCTTCATCCCGGGGGCCTCTAGGTGCCGAGTGCTCTAGGTGCCGAGGGCTACTGTTTTCGCCACTTTCTCCCAGACAATTTGAGTGCTTAAAAGAAGATGTACTGTAAGTTCATGAGCCTTCTGCCAGGGGCCGAAGGCACCCCAGTGTCCGTCGTGGGTTGTTTGGCACTTGGGGCGCTGTGATTTGGGCCTGCTGTGCTTCCTGGGCCTATTGAGCCTCTGCTATAGTAGTGGGAGTCTATGGGCCGGGGGTTCCTGTGCCATATACTCCATCAGACATATCCATGGATTTCATAGAAAGCTCCCTAAATCTCAAAATAAAGACGACATACTTGTAATGGTTGACAGACTTGGCAAGTATGCCCATTTTATTTTGCTCACCCACCCTTATCATGCCACTATGTGGCAAAGGAATACCTTGATAATGTCTTTAAACTACACGCAAGCTGGTTCTGGGGGGTGGGGTGGGTGGGTGGGGAGGGGGCAAGAGGGGCGACCGCTCTAGGCCCGAAAAAATAGGTCCAATTTTTTTTCTTTATATATAGCGTGAGTAAACTTCTATTTTATCCTTACGTTCCATTAATCGG